AAAAAAAAAATCGTATTATTATATAAGTAAAAAGCATTTGATAAAAGTCAACACTGGGCCAAGGATTTAGTTCAGTGGTGCCACACTTGCCTTGCAAGCACAAGGTCCTGAGTTTGCTCCCCAATATCAGAAAAAAAAAAGTCAACACTAACTCATTGTAAAAAAAAAAGAACAACATAGGAATAAAAGAAAACTCCCAGGTAGGCATGGTTGCACATGTTTATAATCCCAGAACTTTGAGAGACTGAAGCAGGAGGATTGCAAGTTTGGGCCCAGCCTGGGGAACTTAGCAAGATCTTGTCTGAGTTGAGGAGGTAGCTCAGTGTGAAGGCTCTGAGTTCAATCCCCAGTACTGCAAAAAATTAAAAAATGAAAGAAAGACACAGAGACAGGGGTTGGGGGTAAGAGGTGAGGAAGAGGAGGATAAGAAGGAAGAAGAGAAAGAAGAAGAAAGAAGAGAATAAGGAAAAGGAGGGAGAGAAAGAGGAAGAGGAGGAAGAGAAGGAGGTGAAGAGGAGAAAAGAGAAAAACTTCCATATTTGATAATGAGTAGCTACCCAAAACCTAGAGCAAGTATCATATTTAATGATGTAATAATGAAGCTTTCTCCCTGAAATTGAGAATGAGTCAAGGATCTAATTATTAACACTTTTCTGCAGCATTACATTGGATGTCCTAGCCAGCAGTGAAACAATTAAAGAAATTAAAAGTGAGTTGGGAAAGGAATATAAATATCATTATTTTTGGTTGATGTTGCATACATATAATTGTGTACCCAAAATAACTTACAGATAGGGCTAGGGGTATAGCTTAGTGGTAGAGTGTTTGTCTAGCATGCACAAGGACCTGGGTTCAATCTCTAGTACCACAAAAATAAATAAATAGCCCATAGATAAACCATTAAAATAAATAAGTATTTAGTAAGACCACCAAATACAAGGTCAAACTAGAATCAATTGTATTTCTTTGTAGCTAAGCAAAAAGAAAATATTTAAAAGATACCAATTAATATAACAAAAGCTTCCAAATACCTAACACTAAGCCTAATGAAAGATGCATAAATCATTCACGCTAAAACCCACAAAAACATTACTGAGATAAATTAGACAAGATCCAAATAAAAGGATGGAAAGACCATGTGTACAGATTGTACTGAATCGGACATCACAAAATAGATTTCCATCAGCCCACAAAGTTCTATAGGACAGAATGTATCTAGACTCATGTCAAGCTCATTCCTACCTTTAGGAACATTCATCTGGACTGCTCTTCCCAGGTTTTGGAATGGCATAATTCCCATAATTGTTATAATTCAGGTTTTAACTCAAATGAAGCTCTTCAGGGAAACCTAAATTTAGATTAGACTGCCCAATCTAAAATACCTCCTCAATCTTCCCTATTCTCAGATACTCTTTACCCCATTCCCCATTTTATTTTCTTCATAGCACTCTTCACTACCTGAAATTATTTTGTTTTGTTCTTTTCTCTCTCTACTCATAGAACAAAAACTTCATGGAGCTCCACATTTGTGTGTTCACAGCTGTATCTCCAGAAACTAGAACAATACCTGGCACATAGGAAATAGAAAATAAATTGTTGAACAGCCAAGTGCAGTAGCATATGCCTGTAATCCTAGCTATTGGTGGGGGATGGTGGTGAAGCAGGAGAATAGCCTGAGCAACTTAAGGAGACCTTGTCCCAAAATAAAAAATAAAAAGGGCCAGGGATGTAACTCAATGATAGAACATTTGCTCAGCATGCACTAAACTCCAGGTTTCAGCCCCAGCATTGCAGGGGGTGGGGGTTATTGAACAAAGTAAAAAATTAATTTATAATTCTAATTCTAGTGGTGTTTGATCCATTACTAGTCACCAGTGGAATCCTAGCTGAATCACTATTTTCTTTGAACATCAGTTCTCCTTTTTAAAAAGGTAGATTCCACTGAATTAGATAATTAGTAAGATCTCTTTCATTTTACCACTGAGATTCTTTGTGAATCTGAGAAAACTTGTTCTCCTACAGATAACTATACTTCCTTTATCTCTGCAATGAATTACAATTCAATTCAAATACAATTCAATTACAATAAATCATTAATGTTCAATACAAACCTCCATCGAGGCTCCGGGATGCCCGTTTGCTTGCTGTACGTTCAAAGTGTGGGGCAGGCCTGTCAATCAGAGCACTAGCTTGCCTGGTCTGAGCTTGAGTCCGGCCACTGTATCGAAATTTGGATCCCAGAGCGAGAAATTTGCTTTTGGGAATGGTGTCTGTAGATGTCAGTCTGGGGAAGAAAATTAATAGTCATATAATTAATATGTATATGCAATTATCTCATTCTGAGACTGTAAAGTTAAAAATAAAACCAAGAATGAAAAATGTTTCACAATTTTCATGGTTTAACTATGGTTACTAAAAGATTTTTCAATCAAGCAATCATTATTTTAGTTCTATGTCATATGTAAAAACAACTATAAGGGCTGGGGATTTACCTCAGTGGTTCCGCTGCCTGCCTCGAAAGTGCAAGGACCTGAGTTCAATCCCTGGTACCAAAAAAAAATAAAACCTCCAACTTTGGGCCAGGGATTTAGCTCAGTGGTTTCATCGCCTGCTGCGCAAGCGCAAGGACCCGAGTTCAATCCCCGGTATTCCGCGCACCCCCCCCCCAAAAAAGAAAATAACTATAATTTAGTTGGTCCCTATATTAATAATATCATCTTATATTTCTGTAGGTAGTATCTTTTGGTTTTCAAAATGCTTTTTTAGTACTGCAACATTTTCACTACATCCCTGTAATGTTTCCACCATTTTATAGATATAGGAAATTGAACTCCCAAAGTTAAAAGACTGAGCAGTAACAAAGTTCAAATCCAGGTCTGATTTTAGCTAGTTAGGCCAATCATAGACCACCTAATAAACAAAGATTCTTATTCCTCACATCTCTCCTTCCACCATACACGGGAAGCGGCTTTCAGAATGGTGAGGCACGCTTTTCAGCCCAACTGGGGAGACTAAATTTTGTCTTAAGATGATCCAACATGAGCTAAATAAAAGTGCCAGTCACATGAAGAAAATTTCAAAGTAGACTTAAAATAGAAACATGCATAATTTGTCCTTGAATAATATTTAAATGAGAATAATACCTGAAAAATGTGTGATGCTCTACACAGACTTTCCATAATTTCTTAGCTGCTCGGTAACTGGGAAGTTTAAATCCAATGGTACTTTCATACTGTTCTTGCTAAAAACACACAAATAAATAAAAACACACAAATAAAGTATTATTTGACCATAGTGATAAAATACCACAGAGATATGTTTCCACCAACAAAGTTATTGTAAATATAGTGACTGTTACCAATTTAAGGACAAAGTATCATTTGAAAAGTTTTCCATATTTATATACAATGAAGTCCCACTCTGCCATAGAAAAGGATAAACTTAAGTCATTCATAGGTAAATGGATGCATCTTGAAACCACAATATTAAATGAAATAAATCAGACACATAAGCTTAAATATCATATGGTCTCTCTTATATGAGGAACCCAAGATATAAATAAAGAACAAAATAAAAGATAATAAGAAGCAGAAACATCTTTTTTCAAATGAGAAGGGAAACAAGAGACAGAAGGAGGGGGAAGGAGGGAAAGAGGATTTTTAAAAAAGAATTGGAACAAAGTAGAGACAGAGCTTTTGCAAATGGGAAGGGGACCAAGAGATAGAAGGAGCAGGGAGGAAGAGGAGGAGCAGGGCATGAAAAAGAATTAAGATGTGTTATGTACATGTGCCGACTCCCCGCAAGGAATGTAATCATTGTGTACTACAAACATGTACTAATAAAAATAAAAATTTAAAAAGAAAAGTTTTCCTCTTTACCAAAAGAAATATATTCACTGGAAGTGGTGTTTTCTAAAGCAAGAGAGCCACGAAATGCATCTTACATTGTTTGTTTATGCTTTTTTAGTGGGGGTATGTATGTGGTACTGGGGACTGAAACCAGGACATTTAAACTGAGCCATATTCCCCAGCCTTTTAAATTTTCTATTTTTTATTTTATTTTTTGGTACCGGGCATTGAACACGGGTCCTTGCGCTTGCGAGGGAGGTGGTGGAACCACTGAGCTAAATTCCCAGCCCTCACATTTTTTATTTTGAGACAGGGTCTTGCTAAATTGCCCAGGCTGGCCTCAAACTTTTGATCTTCCTGCCTCAGCCTCCCAGAGTGCTGAGATTATAGGCGTGCACCATCATGCTTAACTATGTATTACATTTTTGTTTAGAAAACATAAGTACACTGGGCATTTTTCTGAGATATAATTAAGCCACTTTTTGATTGTCTAGATACTGCTTTTCCTTAGTCATTATCTGTATTTGGGACATAAATTACTCATTGATCAGGGAATTAGACATTAAGAAATTCCTCTAGGGCCAGGAATTTAGCTCAGTGGTTTCACCGCCTGCTGCACAAGCACAAGGACCCGAGTTTGATCTCTGATACCAAAAAAAAAAAAGAAGGAAAGAAAAAAAGAAATTCCTCCAATCAATATTATTATGCAATTTTTAATAGAAGCTGAAATTTTGGTTCAAATTAGATTCTTCTTTTAAAAATTAATTTTTAGAATTGGCAAATGATCTAGGTATCTTCCCCAAAGAGTTAAAGACATAATACTACAGTGATACATATATATCCATGTTTATAGCAGCATAATTCATAACAGCTAAAACTGAGAAGAGGCCTATATGTCAACAGATGAATGGATAAAGAAAATGTGGTATTTATACACAATGGAATACTTCTCTGCCATAAAGAAGAATTAACTTGAGAAATCTGTAGAAAAATAGATGTACCTCGAAACCATAATGTTAAAAGAAATAAATTAGACACACAAACAAATATCACATGGTTTCTCTTATATGAGAAATCAAAAATATAAAGAGCAAAATAAAAGGTTATGGGAAATAGGGAGATAGGTCTGCAAGTGGGAAGGAGGTCAAGAGCAGGAGGGAGGGTGTGGGAGGAGAAGAGGGGGATTAAAAGGAATTAAAAAGGAACTGAGTTGCGTTATGTACATCTACGGACTCCCCATGAGAAATGTAATCATTATAAACTGCAAGTATGTACTAATAAAAAATTAAAACTGAAAAAAAATTTAAAAAGAATTAGCAAATGAAAACTGTATGTTCATTATGTTTAGGCATGTTGTTTGGAAGTATGCATACAATGTACAGCTAAATCAAGCTAATTCAGATATTAAGTACATCATTTTTTTGTGATGAGAATACTTAAAGTTTACTCTTAGTGTATTTTTTTGTGAGGGAGCCTTTGTCCTGGGGATTTAACCAAGGGCTTCATGCATGCTAGGCATCCCTTAGCAATTTTCAAGGATACAGTATAATACACTGTTAACTATAGTCATCACGTTGCACTATAAGTCTCTTGAACTTATTTGCCAAATTCTTGAATTATTAAATATTTTCTCTTCTTTTGCTTTGTCATTCATTTGTCTAGACACCTCTTTTTTTTTTTTGGTACCAGGGATCAAACTCAGGTCCTTGTGCTTGAGCAGCAGGCAGCAAAACCACTGAGCTAAATCCCTGGCCCCTAGATACATCTTTGCCTGAAGCAAATTGAATCCTTCCAGCCATACTAAAACCACCACCCTGTTTTGTCTCTTGCCTTTTTGTTTCTTCCTTAAGCATAGTTTATAAGATGGAGAATGACATTTGTTTTGAGTGCCTATTATTGTGGATACCACTATATTATATGAAATTATCTGTATTTTTATATACCAAGAAACTAAGGTCAGAGAACTCAAGTGCTCAATCTCACAGCTATGAAATAGCAAAACTATAATGTCACCTTCTCCACTGTAAATCATCTACTGTAGTCATAATACTCCACTTCTCAGAGTCCTGTTCCTGATTGCTTTCTTAACTAAGGATGCTACTTTTTAGTATATTTAAATAGTTAACACTTGTAAAGACTAAAGATTTCCCATGATCATATTTATTAATATTTGTATATATATTATTGTGTTCTCACATTAAGACATAAGACTGTTCAGAGACATGATGCTTTTTACTCACTGTTATATTTTTAGCCCCTAGAATAATGACTGACACAAAGAAAGCAGTCAATAAATACTTGCTGGTGGAACGACTCTTGGATTTGAAACTTTGAGGGAAGACACTGATGCTCTTTGTGAGGCACAGGTCAATAGTTATGATATAGGTTTGGGGATATAGCTCCCAGAAAGCTGGGAGAGCTCTTGCCTAGCATGTGCAAGGCCCTGGATTTGATCCCCAGCACAAAAAGGAAAAAAATGTACAAAGTAAATACATCGATGATAATCTCCACCCAAGATTTTTATTTTTCAGAGAGAACACGCACAAAGTTTTATCGGGAGTATTTACAAGGGCAAGTAGAAGGAAGGGAAGTCATACAGGGAATTGTGGGAGGTGGGGTTGTGGATACATGTGAACAGGGAATGACCCCTATACCACCCCAAACCAGGATGGGGCATGGCTGGGGCCCAGTAACAACAGTGGGGGTCTGAGTCCTTTGGCTAGGCTCTCAAGGGTTATAGATGTTGATTACTCTGAGGGGAGATGAGGAGGGAAAGGGCTCCCCCAATACTTCCTCCCAGGGTTAAGGCCTCCCCAGGCCTCCAAGCTCAAGGTCTCTTTAGCTAGGGGAGAAGGTACAGGAAAAGGCAGGAAGAATATCCCCCCTTCTCTAGTGTCCCCCCTTCCCCAGCATAGGCTGTGGCAGGGGCAGTACAATGACATTCCAGTCACAAGAAGAGTCTTCCCTACTCCTCTAATGCCACCACACTGGCAAGAAGGAAGGGCCTGAGAGGCCAGCGGCAGCAAGACTGGCCCACCACACCTTATTGTTTTAGAGAGAATATTGTCCTTTTTTTTTTTTTTTCGGTACTGGGGATCAAACTTGGGTCCTTGCATTTGTGAAGCAGGCAGCGAAACCACTGAGCTAAATCACCAGCCCATAGAGAATATTGTCTTTATAGACACGAACACTGAATCCTGGGAAAAGTAGGTGAGGGGCCCTGCTATCTGAAGGCCAGCTTTATCCCCAGTATCGACCCAGTTGCCACTTCGGTGCCCCCAAAAAAGTCCTCTCTCTGGAGATAGGTGGGGAAAGAAACTGGGTCAGCTTCCCACTTTCCTAGGATAGGAAGGAGCAATACATTCATCCCACCCGATTTTAAAGTTGCACATCCAAAATTTCCAGATTGAAGTAGTGAGCCGTTTTTCACCAGCAGATGGTGGTATATACACAAAAAAGACACCTTACATTAGTACAGTTCTTTTCTGTTTAGAGCTTTCACAGCTGTCTTCATATTTGATCTTCAAGTCAACAGGAATGAAGGAGGTAGCATTACCCTTCTTGAATGACAAGGAATCTTAGCCTTAGATTTGTCCAGAGTCTTTTGTTTAGTAAGTGGCAGAGAGCTTTTTAAAAAATATTTTAATTCCTATTTAAACAATTTTCTGTTGTACCATGACAGCTCTTTAGTATAAAAGTTAAAATTTCTAGCATTAGTATATTCTAAAATTTGACCACCAACCAATAACTGAGTGATCTGGTACAATGTTGAACATAATATTTTACTTAAATTCTAGAACTTATGCATGAGGCCCTGGATTCAATCCACCCTCCATTAAATCTGGAGCTTGACCCTAGAACACATTCTCAGTAACCTGTGTATACAAATAAATTTTAATTATAGAAAGTAAGGGTTTGGTAGCACAAAACATGAGTAATTTAACCCCAAAAGTAATTTTTAAATCTCATACAACTCAATTAAATTTTTTTTCCATTAATTTTTCTGCCTGGAATAAACAAGAAACAAGTTTATCAATCCAGGTTTCACTTTTGATGATGCTCTATTTACTTACAGGCAGAGAAACATCCAGAAGATCAGTAATAAGAAAGAAAAGAAGCATTACAAGACCGATCCATTTAGAAAACAAACTTATTAGCCTCTAAATATTTAGCTATAGAGAGACCTCTTAGATGACATAACAAGGAAAATGGGAACGAGATGTGCTTTAAACATTGTATTTGGTTTGGGAGGAAAGAAATGAATTCCGTACCTCTCCAGGCCGGATCTTGATGAAAAAGCTGCTACGTTTATAAGAAATCTTCAGTACTTTGGGCCAAGGAAAACGGTTAATTCTCAACTTATCTTTGTAAACCAAAAGGCCACTAGAGCAGACACCTAGGATGATATCCACTCCCTCCAAGTCCTAAAAAAGAAATAATCAGCATTTCAGTCTTTAGTGCTCAGCATATTGTTGATGATTATTAGATAATTTGAAGGCATTAACAACCAAAAACAGTTTCAAAGCAAATGATGAAAAACAAAGCTTAACCTAACCATCATAATGCCAAGGCTTATGTATGCTACCAAATACACATGCACAATTAGAATTCTATTTTTAATGATAAAGTGGTAATTCCTTCAGATATGAAGTTAAGAACTGACTGCATTCCTATATAAACTCAACATAAGAGAATCTCAGATTCTTAAGATAATGTTAAGTATATTAAATTATAATTATTATCACTGAGCCTAGAAGAAAAATGAAGGCAAAATGAAGCCATATTTACATGTCCCTAAAGAAATTTAAAAAATATTAACCATTTGTATCATTTAAGGAAAATAAATTTCACCTGAGGTACCTCTACCAATGACTGTTTAGCTAAATAATTAAAACCTACAGTTGGATGCTTCTTGACTACTCTTTTTCCTAAAATGATTACAGAAAAAAATATTAGTGCCTATTGACATTATATGCAAATATAACAAAGATGCAGAAATTATATACAGCTTCAATTCAATGACTATGTAATTTAAAATTTACCAGAAGATACCCTCTTAAATTTTTAAAGCCTGTGGGTAGGACTACATCTCTCTCTCTCTCTCTTTTTTTTATTAGAGCAACAATCTGCTTTACAACTTTTGGGAAAGGAACATGCTGACTCTATCCATTCCTGATTGACACCAGACTCCAGCAGGAAACAGAAGTAAAATCTAACAATTTCAGCTCTGGACATACATCTGACCTAATATACTGATATGACTACCATCTACTTTAGAGATTCATAGCAGTTACAGTACCCCGCCTAAAAACAATCCAAAGCAACATCTTAAAGAAAATTCATGAACATGCATGGAAATTTTATTAGAATTAATAGAACTTAAGGAAGAAACAGATATTCAGGCTGGGGAAGTCCTGAAAGGTCATTCTAGTCCAATCATAGACCAGATGCTTGAATGTCCTTTTCTAAATTCCAATCCAAGTGATTATTCTGCCTACTCTGGAATACCTGCAGGGAGCTCAGTACCCTGAGGTAGCCCACTCCATCTTTGAAAAGCTCTGCTAGACAATTTGTCAAATTGAGCTGAACAACATATTTCCCTATAGTTTCTATTTTACTACTTCTAGGTTTACATCTTGGAGCCATGGTAAAATCTCTGCTTCGCATACTATTCTTTTAAATACATCTTCCTAGAACTTTCTTATTTGTGGACTAAGTACCCTTTAACTGTGTCTCACTGGATATGGTTTTGACTCTCATCATGCACACTAGTTAACTTGCTCTGAATGAACTCCCAATTACCCCCTTGAGTCCTTTTCCTCACAATCTCTTCAATATTCCCAGACAATATACTAACTGAAGAGGAAAGAAACCAAGGAACTTGCCTTAAGTATTCACTGTGTTAGGCTGTGTTAGGCAGAACTAAGATTTAAAGCACCTATAATCCCAGTATTCGGGAGGCTGAGGCAGAAACATTGCAAGTTTGAGTCCTACCTAGAAAACTTAGGGAAATTGTCTCAAAATAAAAAATAAAAAAGGCTGGGGATGTAGTAGCCCAGTGTGGAAGTCCCTGGGTTCAATTCTGAGTACTGAGGAAAAAAATAAAAATGACCAAATTTCCAATATTCTAACCTACTAGTTTTCAAATGAACCACTGTAATTCATTCAGTATACACCAAAATCACACTTGGAGAACTTGTTAAAACAGATTGCTGAGCTCCACCCCAGCTTCTGATTCAGTGTGGGAAGGGCACTGAACTGTGCTTTCTAACAAGTTGCTAGGTAATGCTAAATGCTGCTGACCACATTTTGAGAACCATTACTCTGGGCCAATGGTTCTCAGATTTAAGCAGGTATTAAAATCATTTAGGATTGTCATTAAATCTGGAAATGCTAGCGCCTCTCCTCCAAAGTAGGTCTGTAAATCTGGGAGGAGCTCAGGAATTTGTAAGTTTTGTTTTTGTTTTTGTTTTTGTTTTTTGGTACTGGAGATCGAACTTGGGTCCCTGCACTTTCAAGGCAGGTGGCAGAAAGGAATTTGTAAGTTTAATAGACACCCCAGGTGATTTTGACATAGGTGATACTAGCAATGAAATATGCCTTGCTGTCAATCTATATTTTTTAATGTAACTGCAATCTAGAAAAATATAATTTCTTTTTCTCTGGCTGTTACATCTTTTGATCTTCACAGAAACTTGGTGTGAAACTTTATTCTAGTGATAGAATTGCTCAGGGACAATTCAGTTGATACACTTAAAATTCTAACAAGAATTACTATTTTTTAAGTGTTTTTAAATACCCCAGATAAATGTTGATAAGAAATATGCCACAAGTGTGATATACACGTAACAGATCTGTGCCATATAATGCATAAAGTTATCATTACCTTTGCTTTATGAAGATCAACTCCATACATAGACAACTTTTTGGCATTCTCCAGAAATTCCAAGTCAGCCTGAGCTGGAGTCATAGACCTTAGATATAATAAAAATTAAAAAACAGTGTCATAGTATCAACATTTATAGTAATAACAAGTGTATATTTGTTCCACTTTATGTAAACATATATATATTCACTCATATGTACATAAAATATATTTCATAGTTTCAAATATATTTCATAGTCCCAGAGATTAGGGAATCTTATCACCAATAGTGTCTAATTAAAATATGCCTAAGAAAAAGACATCTTGAGTAAACAAAAATTCACCAAAAAAGCTATCAAGCTTTTTTCAAAGCTATTTTTCAATCCTACTAAACAATTTCCTTAAAGCTATATAAGGTCATCCATCATCAGTTCTCTCTTCAGTGTTTTTTTCTACATCATACATAATTCATCCCACTAATTTTCTGCCAGAGAGATGACCAAATTAAATCCTCAGGGGGCATGGTGCAATTTACAAGATCCTCTTAGCTGCCTTTTCCTCTCTACATCCCTGAATTGAGTTATTGTGGAAGGTAGCTGACATTACTTAAGTAGGACTCTTAATGGGGTCAAGTTTGATGAAAAGAAAATTTCTGGTAACAGATGGTGTTCTGCTCACTGATCTATACAAAATAAATTGGTTAATAGGAGCACACAGATAATGAGATTGCTTTCTGTTATTAAGACATCTTCATTACTAGGCATATAATGAATTAGATTTGTTTGAAAACAATCAGTCTTGCTGTCTAAACATTCACTGTGACAGTCTTTCTTTTTCCTTTAGAAGTTTCCTCCTTTATGAGAAGTGCTCACAAGCTGTTATGTTGAGCTTTCAGGACAAAGACATCACTCCTAATGCTGCACAATTCAGACTAATCAAGTATAACTTCATAGTAACAACACAGGCGCATCCCCAGAGAAAAACCATGGAAATCCTAGTTTCCCATAAGACTGCCTCAAGCCATAGAGAGCAGCAGGGGTCTCTTCATTTAACAAGGAAAAATCTCCCCAAACCCATCTGTCTTTACCCTCATTAAAAAAACCAAAGGATTCCTTGGAACGACCACTACCAAAACAAAAAAAAAACGTCAGGAGAGAGACTGCAGATTTAATAATGCAGCTTCCCTAAATAAACTTCTTTTCCACAACAGCATCACACCTGAATTCTATTTACTAGTGGACCTGAATTTGAAGACAAAAAAAAAAAAAAGAAGGGAATGGGAAAATTAACCCACATTCAAGTCAATTAAAAGAAAGTTCTGTAGTTGTATTTTTTTTCCCACTCAACTGATAAACCTTTACTTTTCTAGTTAACATTACTACCAGTTATTTTTATAATTTTGTTGTTGCTATTATCAATGGAATTAATTTTAGAATTTTAAAGTTGGAATGGAACTTGATCACAGAGTTCAAAATTTTCATTTTCCTGGTAAAGAAATAGGCCTGGAGGGATCACATGATCACAGCAGGTTAGGATCTTAGTTTGAAGCATCAGGCTTAAGTCAGGTCTCAAGTTACACACTAGGGTCCTTGAATCCTGGCTCTTGCACTTAGAGGAGGAGGGAGACAAGTGTCTTTCTCAAGTTCCTTTAATGAAGTAAGACTCACATCTACTCTAAAATACCAGGACTGCCAATCCCTTTCTTTTTCTTTCTTTCTTTTTTATTTTTTTAAATTTTTGCTAAATAAAAGAATGTGACTATTAGGATCAAATAAGATAATGGTTAAAAAACTGCTTTGTAAACTGTACTATACACTGTAAGAGTACTGTCCAGAATTTATTCAGTATCACCTAAAAATTTACTACTTGTAAGCACTGCAGCTTACAAAAGTACCTAAACAGGGCGCTCTTGCTTATTACAGAGAGAAGTTAGTGCACTGTTTTCCTGTTTTTATTATTTCAAGCAAATGGGGTCAAAAGAACCATTTGGTGAATTACAGTGTTATATGACAGCCTTTTAATAATGTTTGCTGCATCTCTTAATTAAGGATTGTGATCTCAAATAATTAGGTGTGAGGCAATTGACAAGCTTATATACCTCCCCAGGGCCCATAACAGAAAGGGAATTAATGTTAAAACTTGATTTACTAGTATTAACTTAAAAAGTTAAGTTCAGATTCAACATTCTTGTCTTGGCAAAAGATTCACTTATATAGGTTATCATCTATTTATTTGTCTGAGAAGCAGGGTGGTATGTGATTTTACTTTTCAATGCAAGTAAAATACTTTTGCCTCAGCAGATGTTTCTTTGGATTGGCTAAAACACCACATTGTTGGACCCAATTACATTTTCCATTTGGTTTTCTGCTTATGAGGGTTGTCAATCCTTCTAAAAAAGAGCAAGTAAATTTCAGGATGACAGACTTCTAAATTTTCATGGAGATCTATTATTGTTCAATTTCTGTCGCGTAACTAGCAGAACATCAATTAGGCCACATCCATCTGTCCTTTGAGATTGTTCCATTTATTTAAGTTCTGTTAAGTTCTAAGAGTAGTTCTCTAAACCCAGACTCATATTCACTGTTTGTAAAATTTTTCAGATAAAATTAAAGGTTAGAGGCTTACTAGAAGTAACATACCAAAAGTCACACAGTTAAAAAGGAATAGAATCTGAATTCCATGGGAGACAGGCCGACTCCAAAGCCAGTTATTTTAACTATGTGTCCTATTCGCCTAACTCAGTGGTTTTCAAACTCTTTTGGTTTTTGGACCTCTTGCTATGTATATAGTCCAAGCTGGCCTTGAACTCTAGCTGGCCTCAGACTTGTAACAATCTTCCTGCCTCAACCTTCTGAGTGCTGGCATTATAGGTGCCACCACACCTGGCAGAACCTCTTTACTGTCTTAATTATTGAGGACTCCAAATTATTTTTCTTGGTTGGTTGTTTGTTTGGTTTTGTGGGGGTTTTTTGGTACCGGGGATCAAACTCAGGTCCTTCCGCTTTCGAGGCATGTGCTGGAACCACTGAGCTAAATCCCTGGCCCTGTTCTGTTTGTTGGGGTTTTTTTTGGTATCGGGGATCGAACTCAGGTCCTTGCGCTTGCGCAGCAGGCGGTGAAACCACTGAGCTAAATCCCCGGCCTCTGTTCTGTTTTTTGAGACAGCATCTCACTATGTAGTTCAGGCTAGCCTTGAACTCACTATGTAGTACTGGCTGGCTTCAAACTCAGGGTGATCCTCCTGCCTCAGCCTCCCAAGTGCTAAGATTATAGGCGTGTGCCACCATGCCCAGCTTTTTCGGTTGTTTTTTTTATTTCTTGTGGTACTAGAAATTGAACCTAGGACCTTGTATATGGTAGGCAAGTGCTCTACCACTATCCTACACACTCAACCCAAAAGTATTTTTCTTTATGTGGGTTATAGTATCAGTATTTACTATAATAGAAAATTTTAATCTAAGAAAAATTTAAAATATGTATTAAATCTCTAAAGAATAAAAATAATAAATTCATTATTTTTTAACATAAACATATGACAGAACAATGAAGGACTGAGAATTTAAGTTTTCTTTGATACTACACTAAAACTCATACATAGCAGTTTCTTAAAGATTAGCTACAATGTGAAATCTGAAAACATCAATGAACTTTTTGTGTTGTTATATCAAAATGTATTGTTTTGAATGAGTCTTTTTATGCACAAGTGATTTCATAATATCATATATTCCATCTGAAAAATGAGTTCACTGACTTAAATCTTCCAAATATTAACACATTTCGTTACACAATTGTTTTATTTATTTATTTTTTGGTACCGGGGATCGAACTCAGGACCTTGTGCTTTCAAGGCAGGCGGTGGAATCACTGAGCTAAATCCCCGGCCCTACAATAGTTATTTTTAAAATGACATTAATTAAAAATCACATTCACCTGAACAGAAAACTCCTTACGTGAAAACTGTCAAGATCACATTGCAGGGACCAAGAGATGGAGGGAGAGGGGAGGAAAGGGAGGGAAAGGAGATGAAAAAAGCATGTGGTGCAGCTGGTATTTAGCCCAGTGGTGCCGCCACCTGCCTTGTAAGCGCAAGATCCAGAGTTTGATCTCCGGTACAAAAAAAAAAATTAAAATGTGTTCTGTACATGTACCAATTCCCCATGAGGAATATAATCATTATGTACTAATAAAAAATAGCTGAGGAAACAAAAGATCGTGTTGGCATAAACAAGTTTTCCAAATTATATATATATAAAATTTATATAAGGTGCAAGGACCCGAGTTTGATCCC